ACCTTTACCCATAAGAATCTCCTGTATAGCTATTATACTGTCTTTCTTTTGTAGATTTTCTTTTTGTTCTGCTTTGTTGATGAGTTTCATTTTAACTCTGTCCTGTTCTGTAACTATAATTACATCTTTTTCTGTGTCTGGTATCTTCAAGTGATTTGGTTTTGCAAAAGAACCATCAGCTCTTATCTGTAACATTCCTAGCTCAATAAGGGTTGATTTGCTTATCAATGGTGGAGAATTGATTTCTCCCTTAACAACAATACATTTTGTCTCTGTACCACATGTCTCATTTCTTATTACAGTCGCAAATTCTCCCTTTATTGGTAGTGAATTTTGCAGTGTACTTTAACTTGATTGTGCTCCTTTCTAACACTGGATTTCCGTTTGTTCTTTTCTGAAACTTTACAAATTGATTCTCATCCATCACGTTTACATCTGCTCCACTACCAGGTTCCACCTTCACATCCACATCATCAATTCTTACCGTCACTGTGTTTTCAATCTCTTTTATTCCTTGTATGGTCTTCACTTTGCGGATTTTCCTTATGTGCTTGATAGTTTCTCCAAAATAATATTCATCTTCTTCATAGTCTGATGTATCTGTACTTGAATCGGTTTCATATGCCCCTTCTGTTGTTTTCTTCACATTTCTTCTGTTTCTATAGTTGACAGATCTGTTCTGTTGCTGACTATCATATCCTGCTTGCTTTTTCTTTTCTGCTCTGTATACTGATGCAAAATGGTTATACCGTTCACAATTTCTACATTGTTTACCATATCCTGGACATCTTCTCTCGTCACCATTATCAAGTCCACAATAACTATAATTAGCATTTGTCATCTTATTAATATTTCTACCATTTTGTTGAAATCTATCTTCTTTAAACTCCTGTGGTCTGTTGCTTGATCTGTTGCTTTGTATTTTATTTTCTGACCTTATGCTGTAATCGCTGTGGTCTCCTTTCATGTCCTTCATCTGTAAGCAAGTGTCTTCTATTTGTCCCGCTTCTTCAACAAATTTATCCAGAGTCCAACCTTTGCTTATTGTCCTCTCTATCAGTTCCTGATTGTTTATAGTCCGGATACAATGTTTCAATATTCTTTCATCACAAGTTGCTTCAAATTCACATTCATGTGCCTTTTCTCTGAGCCTTGTTACATACGTCACTGTATTTTCATCTCTTAGTGGTTTCATTTTCAAAAATAAAGACCTGGCAAGATGCTTGTTCCTCTTTGGCATATAAATTTGTTTAATTTGTTCTTTAATATCTTATATTCATTTTCTCCTTCTTCATTTCTCAGGTTTTTTTTTCCAGTTTTGCTATATCTTTTCCTCCATAAATGATTAGAGCATCCTTTTTATCTTCAGGTTCAGTTACTCTAAAATATCTAAATTCCCTTTCTATACTCTCCAGCCATTCTTCCCATTGTTTTCCTGTGGGTATTTGATCTTCCGACGAAATAAATGGTTGTGAACGTAAATTCCTTGTTTCTGTAAAAGAGGGACGAAAGATACCAGAGGGACAGTCAAACTCATAGATCGAAAACAAACTGACAACGCCATGGCCAAAAAAAATAAAAAGACAAATAGACAAATAGACAAATAATAGTACAGATGACATAACATAGAAAACCAAAGACTAAGCAACACGAACCCCACCAAAAACTGGGGGTGATCTCAGGTGCTCCGGAAGGGTAAGCAGATCCTGCTCCACATGTGGCACCCGTCGTGTTGCTTATGTTATTACAAATCCGGTAAATAGTCTAATTCGGTAGGTCACATTCGTGAAAAGGGGAGGGTATTGTAGTTACGACATAAGGAACACATCCGATATCATCTGTGGAAACGGTTATTCCATAACGGTCAACTAACTCGTGATGGCGTCCGTGAAATTTACGAAGGGATGATTTCAACTTCACCATTTGGAACTCTTGGTTTAATATCTTCCTCTATCAAGGAAATCATAATAGGAAATACAAGCCCAGAAATATCGTATCAATTGGGAGACATATACTCCGTATGCAGGCGCTTCTGGAATGTTGCTACATAGAAATGGAAAGTTCTCAATTGGGAAGCTGAAATAATCTCTTTTGTCGTAAAGTTTTGTTTTCAACCGATCCTCATTGTCAATTTCTAGATGTGAGTCAAGATATGAGGCAGACTTAACTGTATCTGTAGTATCCTTTATCTCTAGTTCGATGGGATAGATTCGTTCAACATAGTCACCAAATTTTGTATTATTTAGTGAGAGAACATCATCTATATAGCGGAACGTAAAGTTAAAGGATATTGCTAACTTCTTATCTTTCTTCCTAAGAAGTTCCTGTATGAAGTCAGCCTCATAATAATAAAGAAACAAGTCGGCAAGAAGAGGGGCACAATTGGTTCCCATTGGAATTCCGACAGTCTGTTGAAAAACACGTCCTTCAAACGTAACAAATATGTTGTCAATCAAGAAATCAAGCATCTTGATAATGTCAGTTTCAGAGAATTTTTTGTTTGAATCAGAGTGATTCTTTCCAAAGTAGGATTTATCGTTATCACCTCGGGTTCTCCTCGGTCCATAATATCTGTTTTAGCCTTATCTTCCTTTTAATTCTCTTTTTTTTTAGCGTGATCTTCTTATAATTCTCTGTTCCGTTAACTTTCTTCTTTGTTTACGCTGCTAATCTCTGCTAATTTCTTTTTTTTTAATCCTCGTCGCCATTGAAAGGTCGGAGCAAGACTTGATTATTCAGATGGTATTTTAATAATGACTAACAACATACAATTCGTATCGCCGTAGCGACGTTACGTAATACGTTAATGTCCCGAAGGTTTGTGTGGTACTTTCCCGGAGTAATCGCAGATATTACACCCTCAAACAAGGAAATCATGATAGGAAATCGTTTCGATCATGTTAGAATTTTGTAGATCTTGTATTGTTGATCATTTTTGATGTTTACAGTTTTGTTTGACCTAATATAGTTTTCAAGTTAATAGAAAAAACATTTAAATGAGTGAAAACAAAATCGTCATTTGTGGGACAATAACTACAATAAAGAATCTTCCGTTGGTTATTGAAATGTTGACTTTTTTGTAGAAGTTTTATTGTTGATAATTTTTGCTGTTTTATAGCTTCCGCTTATCCATTATATTTTCGGAGATATTAGGCAAAAACTCAAAAATCATCATTTTATGGCAATAACTCCTATTTGAGATCTTGTATTTCTGATCATTCTTGCTGTTTCTACCTTTCTATTATAAGTGTTGAGATAACAGGCAACAGTGCTAATATCAGTCTTAAAATCACCCTTAAAGCACAATAACTCTTAAAAGGAGTCCAACAATGGTTTGAGTCATTGATCATTTTTGTAGATCTTATGTTGCCGATCGGTTTTAGTGTAGGAGGAAATGGATTATACGTAGTTGTGACATTATGAGTATATTTTTGCCGTGGTAGTTTCTCCATCTTATATGGTCTTCGATATATAAGACAATTAGTGCATTTAAACCTTATGTTCTATTTTAAGTCATGGTGGTAATGTCGGTTAATTGGCAGGAACAAAAAGCGCAATTTGAACTAAACACTTGATACCACTAGAATCATTCTATTTTAAGTATGATTGAAATGGGTACGGTGACTTCAGAGAAGATTTCAAAAAAAATTCTCGATAAAAATTTCAAGCGAATGCAGTAGCTCACATGGTCCATATGGTCAGGTGATCTATAAATCAATTTCAAATTGATACAACTCTAAACCTGTTACTAAAGAACAATTATATGAAGGTCATATCTTTTTAATAACATTAATTTTTATTTAGGCATAGTTTTTATCTCATTATTTTCTTTGATTTTAACTTTTCAAACCTCCAAAGTGGAGGATTTTCCTGTAAAAAGTAAGATAGCAAATATACCGAACTCCAAGGAAAATTCAAAACGGAAAGTCCTTTATCAAAAGGGAAAATGAAAAGCTCAAACACATCAAACGAATGGAAAACAACTGTCATATTCCTGACTTGGTACAGGCATTTCCTTATGTAGAAAATTGTGGATTAAACCTTGTTTTATAGCTAGCTAATAAAACTGTGAATGGAAACGGGGAATGTGTATGAAAGAGACAACAACCCGACCAAGCCTCTCACTTGTATGACAGTCGCATAGTCCAGTATATTGACAACAATGTGTGAGCAAATCAAACAGACATAGTAGGTTAAATTGTCAAAATTAAGATACATCAGTCAACATTGTGTTATAATCCTAATCACTACAATAGTCAATAGTCGTTTGTTTTTCGTTGTAAAAGCAATGGAATTCATAGCTGGAAAATTAATGGTCAATTTCTGGAAACACCAAATACAGCAACTCATCTGGGAATAAAGCGGGTGAATGGATCAAAAACTTACCTTTTAGAAACGGTATAGCAGACAAAGACTCAGTTGAATATAACATCGCATAAAGAAAAATAGCAATGAAACCAAGGACTCCATAAGCTGGTCTATAAAAGAATAATTGGAAGTATTAAGTACCATCTTCTTATGAATTATTAAGACAACAGCCCAAGTGGTTCATCCAAAAACACACATATACACACTTATGTATACGAAATGCATGACTTGCATACCAAATTATAAACCTGGTATCTTTGATTTGTTTTACAACCATGAACATGGTCGATGCTACTGCTGGTGGACGTTTCGTCCTATCAGTATCACCAACCTAGTAGTCAGCACTTTTGTGTTGACGTGAAATATCATTGATATGTTATTTTTCTGCCACTTTACTGTTTATAAAATGTTGAATTATCGGAAAAACTAAGATTGTTTCTATCCAGGTATATATTGCCTTAATCGTATTAGGCATAACGTTTTTAATTTTTAATCTTTTATGCTTTTTAACTTTGTTTTTGATTTTTCCTTCCAACTGTTTTAATTCAAAAGTAACTGACGAAACACACGTCTGGCATACAAAATCATAAATCTGCTATCTTTGATGAGTTTTAGGGAACACAAACAATATATAAAACAATAAATATATAATTTATTCAAATAAAACTTTGGTCACTTTTCTGTACAAAGTTCACAGATTCAATCATTATTCCAACAGTATTTTTCATTGTAGATCGGGCAGCAGGTAACATCCTTCTCATTTTAGTCCATAAAAGGGCAGCACCTGTAAGTTACAAGATGCAAATAAATACTTTAATCTTTTAAAATAATTTCTAATATTTGGTAAAATTTTAAGAGTAAAAGCCATTGTTTCATGGGTAACTGGTTATATTGTTAATGTTCTTAAATTGATAGAGAGTATATCAAATAAGTTTACATGTAGATAAACATAAATTTTGGACCCTATTATCATAAAAAAAGATATATTGCTATTTCTAATGCAATTATTTTGTATCAATGGTTCTGATTTGATGACAGTTAGAGTAAAATTCTCTGTCTCCCTGTCTATAACTAAGAAACCGACATTTTGAATTCCGGAATGTATTGACATGTAATTTCCCCAATAATAAGCAGAAAACTAACATTTTGCATCTAGAAATCCTTTTTTTTATCAAATTTTATTACATTCTGAGGCAGCCAAAAAGCCAGAAAACGGCCGGTGTTTACATTTGACACCGGAATCATACTTATGACATCTCCTAGTTTAGGGGCCAAAGAAGTTGACATCATTTCGCGGAATTTTCGTTTAATGAAAAGTTTACACTGAAACAATGACCAAAATTGAATTATGTATTTATTTTGCATTATAATAGAGATAACTGTATTGTATTTGAAGCTTTGCAGACATCAATCGGTAGTCCGGAAAGCTTCAAATACAATACAGTTATCTCTTAAATGTATTGAAAACCGTATATCAATGAAGCATTCAGATAAATATTTCTTCTTACAGCTTAAACCTTAAAAAAACCCTGAAATAACAAAAATACTGAACTCAAAGGAAAATTCAAATAACTGTTTACTGTGTTCTTTCTAGCAAGTGATTTCTGAAATATAATACTTGATTAAAACAGAAAAAAAACATAATATCAAAATGTTTTTATTTTTTTTTTAATTTCAGTCACTTAGTAAATTTTACTGACGCCATCACGAGTTGGTTGACCGTTATGGAATAACCGTTTCACAGATGATATCGGATATGTTCCTTATGTCGTAACTACAATACCCTTCCCTTTTCAAGAATGTGACCTACCGAATAAGACTACTTACCGGATTTGTAATAAAATAAGCAACACGACGGGTGCCACATGTGGAGCAGGATCTGCTTACCCTTCCGGAGCACCTGAGATCATCCCCAGTTTTTGTGGGGTTCGTGTTGCTTAGTCTTTAGTTTTCTATGTTGTGTCATCTCTACTATTGTTTGTCTGTTTGTCTTTTTATTTTTGGACATGGCGTTGTCAGTTTGTTTTCGATCTATGAGTTTGACTGTCCCTGTGGTATCTTTCGTCCCTCTTTTAGTAGAAACTTTATTTTTGAAGTTTTACCAAAGGATTATAAAATTAATTTCATTTAACATTCCCCCTCATATGTTACCTTTTTTTTTTTACTTTTACTGGTTACAGAGTAGTTCTCACCTCAAATTGTAGCAAAGTTGGCAATTGTATTTTATTCCTAATTGGTTTTAAATTGAATGGATATGGAATTAATATGTAAATATTTACAACAGTGTTTAGTTTTGTCATTTAGAGAATAAATTTTGATGCTTGTCCCATCATGCTTGCTCTGATTATTATTTTTAGTTTTTAGTTACCTTGAATGTTTGTAGCAGGGTCGTTGATTGATTTGTACCCATCTGTATTGTTTGTCAGTGGAGCACCACTATTAGCATTTGGTCTATTTATTCCTATGGAAAAAGTGATGAAACCATTTGTCTCTTGATGGTCACTTGTAACGGAATGCAGGTCCAGACTCGGAGCATATTCACTATCGTGCTGAGAATTTAAATGTTCATAGTTTTGACGAACTAACTGTTCAGGTGGCAGTAGACAGACATGACTTTTCTTAACAAGAGAATCAATGTTCAACTGTAACAGAGTTAAAATTATCAGACATCATGTAGATTTATATGTCTCAAAACATTAAAGCTTTTTTGTTGTTTTAACCAGGTTTGGTTTAAAATATTTATTCGTCATCAATACAAACATATCATCATACAAAAATACACTATAACAATAAGATTTGGAAACAAGCTGTACCTAGCAAATATTAATGCGTTTCCTTGAAATACCAATTCCAAATGACCATAAAATTGAGAATAGAAATGGGGAATATGTCAAAGAGACAACAACCCGACCAAAGAGCAGACAACAGCCGAAGACCACCAATGGGTCCTCAACGCAGCGAGAAAATCCCGCACCCGGAGGTGGTCCTCAGCTGGCCCCTAAATGAAATTGTGTACTAGTTAAGTGAAAATGGACGTCACACTAAACTCCAAAATATATAAATGAACTAAAATTAAAAAACATACAAGATTAACAAAGGCCAGAGGCTCCTGACTTGGGACAGGCGTAAAAATGCAATGTTACAATGATATGGAACAAGAATAAATATGCAATTACATTACATAGAAATAAGGGGCAAAAATTATCGGAACGAAGAGAAAATCATAGATTGATACTCTGGCACAAAATTATATATGACAAAACACCTAGTTATCTCCGTGAACAAATACCAGGTTTAGTAGAAAGTAGGCATAACCATAATACAAGGCAACGTCAAAATATCATAGAAATCGGTACAAGAACTCGCTTATATTCAGAATACTTTTTCCCTGCAACCGTGAAATTATGGAATAAGATACCTTTTAATATAAGACAGTGCGACTCTCTCTTTCTATTTAAAAAACATATTTGTAAACAAAATAAGAAGGTTCCCACACATTATTATGTTGGAAATCGCATTGGACAAATTCTCCATGCAAGCTTGTGAATGAACTCTAGTGCTTTAAACTCCGATTTATTTTTACGTAATTTAGTGGATTCCTCAAATTGTCGTTGTGGTGCTATAGAAACAAGCTCTCATTTTTTATTAACGTGTCCTTACTATACTAACATACGCCAAGTGCTACTGAATTCTCTTGCTGATTTTCCGCAGCGTATTGATGTAAATATTTTGCTTTTTGGGTCAGATTGTTTAACTGATGAAAAAATTGTACTCTTTTTGTATTGGTACAAACATACATATTGAAAAGTAAAAGATTCACACCATAATATAAAAGCATCATTTATATGTGTTCCTTGCATCATTTAGCTCATTTCAATCACTTGTTTTTTGTTTTTTGTTTTTGTTTTTTTTTTCTCCCTTTTTTCTCAAACTATATAATCAATCTTTTTTTGTATTTACTATTCTTAATATATTCCAATTGACAGAGCATGCTCCAAGTATTCATTATATTGTATGTCAACATTCTTTTGGAGACAGATTAAAATAAGCAATGTTGCTTGTTTCTGAATCCCATTGTTTATACTGTATTATATTATATAGCATAATTTGGCTTATCGAATAAAATATTGTTTAAACCAAGGGGCAAAAATATAATTAGAAATAATAAAAATATAAAAATACAAAAAAACAAAAAACAAACAAAAAGAAACAGAAAATACCCCCCAAAAATCACTTTAATACTAATGAAAAATGTTCAGATGAAATGCAACATTTTCAAAATAGTGAATTACAATTAAATTTGTATATCTCTTTTCCCTGTAGGAAGATTTCGTGTACTTTTTCAAAATATTCCTGTTCTGGTCTAAAGTTAGAGCTTATAACAAATAGAAGTAGGTTTTTGTTCCGTATAACTGGATAGTAAATTAAGAAAAAAATATTTCATTGCGTAATGTGTCATATTTTACTTTTACAATCCAATAAAAAATTAGCTGAAGACTGGATTAGACCGCATAAGCAATTTGAAGAATTTACTAGATTTCGTCTAAACAAATCTTCATTTAAAGAACTACTATTCATCCTTAACCTAGCATGTATTGTTTGACATATTTTGTACCAGTGTAGTAAAAATCTGGACAGCTACTATTTAGGATTTTTTACACGACTTTTAGAAATGCTTAAAGGATATTCAGATGGAGATGTCAACATCAGGGATGGGGTTGATTAAATTAAAATGAAATCGATTAAATCACAATTGTTTTGCTAATCTAATATAATCGATTACATTACAATTACACCTAATTCAAATGTAATCAATTACGTTAATTTTCTTTAAAGTAATAATGATTACTTTAAATTACTTTTGATTACATTGTATATTGTTATCCTCAGAAAAAAAGTAGATTTTTTTGTATCTTTTATTTATTCATCTTATTAAGAATTCAGACTAGGAGCAGTGTAACATATGTAATTTTGTAATTTTAAAAGAAATATCATTGTTTAAAAAAAATGTTTAGCCAAGTGAAACTTTCCAATCAACAAAAAACCCTTAACAAATAATGACACATTAGTTAAGTGGTTTTATTATGTGTGGGGATATGATTGACACATACATATGTTTTACAGGTGTTAATCACTACTTCTTTTTTTGGGACAAACAATAGATGAGCTTGGGTATTAAAAATTAATTGTCTTATTTGCAATATAAATAAAGTTATAAGTATTTTATTTTCATTATGTTTATCATTATTTGAAAAAAAAAAATTAAAACTAAGTATAAAAAGCACATATTAAATTATTTATGGAAAACAAAATTTATACAAATTGTAAAAAAATCAAATTTCCATTATTTATTAAGTGGGCTCATTTATGTCGATCAGAAAGGTCAAAATTGAAACTAATTCTCACAAACGAATGTTCTATGCGATTGAATTTTCATGTAGTTATAACAAATATTGTGTAAAAACAAATTGTAGTTTATATCAGAAGTGTTCAAAGCATATTCTTGTATCCAAAGGACTCAATCTCACTATGAAACATTTGGAAAGGTAAATATCTTTTTGAACTGTTTACAAATTAAATCACACATTTTCACTCTACATACCCAACATGGTTACACTAAACTTGATATTATATAGAAGATATGATCAATCATATTGAACTTCGATCCATCATAGTAAATACAAGTTTGATATTTTTTTCATTCATGCTTCACATCCTCTTATATTTATATTATATATCAAAAACTATTTTCATTTACAAAATTTGTTATCAGCAAGTAATTATTTGAATGTAATCTTAAAGTCATCAAAAAGTAATCATGATTACACCTGATTTTACATTGAACACCAAACACAGGAATCCTAGAATTAAAGTACTTTAACAGTTTACGGTATGTACCCTGGTATGAGTGATTTTTTTTATATTATTTTTAGTTTGTTTTCTCCAAGGTAAATTCAAAAAGGGGGAGTCCATAAAACCTGATAAAATCAAAGGCTTGACTTTATCAACTAACAGTAAGTGGAAAACAAATGTCCTATTCCTGACTTGATACAGGCATTTTCCACAGAAAATGATAGCTAGCTATATCTCCCTCTCCTTACTTAATAATAAGAGATATTATTTTTTCATATAAGAAAGTGCACCAATACATTGATACCTGATTGTCTGTGGAGTTACTGGTGTTTTGACCACTGTTATCAACTACTACATCATTTCTGTTTAAACTACTGAAGAGATAACCTTCATCACCATTGTCTCTGTCAACTATATTCTGTAAAATACATATCCAAACAATTTCTTACTATTTTTTGTTCTCTTAGATAATATGATAAAGTTTATGTTATGAGTTAGTCTGTGAATAATGTTTGTTCAAAGCAAAATACTTGACCGTCAGTTGTTTTTTTTCAAATTTATTTCCCCAATTTTTACAGTTAAATTTCACTTTTTATTTTTTATACTTCCTAGAAATTTATTCCATTTAATTTTTTTTATTCCATGACACATTACTTTTAATTTTGACAAACTTCTAAGATAAATTATACCTTTAAATTTGTATCTGAATGAGCTCTTGTACCAGAAGTCTGCATTATAGTACTATTCGATGCTACTGATTGAGCTCTAGTACCAAAAGTCTTCATTATAGTATTGTTAGATGCTACTGCATGAACTCCTTGTGTCAGGACTATATTTTCTTCCATATTGTTCCCTGAAGTTGACATTACTGTGTTCGGAGGAATGGTCACTGATGATGTCAGACCAACACCTGTCTGTGTTGTGCTTTGGTTGTTTTCAGAATTCTGACTTGCTGTAGTTGATTTTGATCCTGTATTTGTTGCTATAGAAACAGTAGCTGAGTTGTTTGAATCCAGACCATTTGTACTATTTCTCTGATATATAACCGAGCTGTCATTGGGTTGCATCCCAGCAATATCGTGTTGGTTGCCTCCACCTGATTGTTGATTTAAAGGATTTCCATTATCAGATATATTTGTTGCATCCTGATTTACTGATTGTAATGTGCTGTTAATTTCCGATGGTTCGTTGGGTTCAGCGTCTGTTTCAATACCACTGATTGCTGTCAAAAACAAGAATTAATTTTAATTCGTGCCAACAATTTATCATATAAAAATACAATGAAAAGGTAACAACACCAGGTCACCTTACTGCCTTCACCATGAGCAAAAGTATAGTACGCTATTAAAGGCCCCAGGATCCCAAAAGGTGGAACAATTCAAACAAGAAAATCAACAGCCTGATTTATATTCAAACATTTTAAAAATGAAAAGAGTTATGACAGACAGCAACAAAAACAACATGTTTTGTTCTATAGTTCATTAAATGATGAAAATGAGGTAAAGGTCACTGTTACTAGTGAAATGGCATGAACATCTTACGGTAAAATTAAAGACGAAATATAACTCTTTGTATATTGTCTTATTCAAAATTTCAGCACAGCCCACTCAACACAAACAAAAGGGAGTCGATGCTACATAGCTAAAATTGTGATCGAAGTTAGCAAATATCTGTCAGACTGACAATACCAATCGACTATATACCAATAAGAACTTGGTTGTTAGAGGCCTAGTTTGGGGAAGATTTTTCACTATGTGACTTATTTCTTATTTTAGGTACATAGCCTTAGGTAATGATTCTAATACTGGAAAACAATGCATCACAAATATTTTTCTTAAGCAGTGATTGAGTGAAATCTTGTTACCTGGCCTCTGATATACTATCATAGCTCAAAAACACTTTACAATATTTTATCATATAGAAGGAGTGAAAAGGCAGTATTCTGTATGAAATGCTGCTGATTGAAAAAAAATATATGAAATTCTGTGAGTTTAAGCTCAAGTGCACAATATTGCTAAATTTCAATTTTTTTCATGAACTGATTTGAATAGTAGTAATATGAATGCTGACACTAGTGGAGCAGGAACTGCTTGTCTTCATTAAGCACTACCAGTTTTTGTTGGGATTCATTTTGCTTGATCTCTAGTTTTCTGTGTAGTTTGGTAGACTGTTTGTCTTTTTTTTATTTATCTTTTATCCATGATGTCTTTTTTTTGTACAACATATGGTTTTTCATTGCCCCTCGGTATTGTTATACCCTTTTTACAATGAAAAACTAATAATTCAAAACATAACAGAAAACATAAAATTAATAGTCTGGAAAAAAATACTTCTTCATAAATACACCTAGTCAGAAAACATTTGGAATTAAAAAACAATTCCAAAGTCAAATAATTGGCTCTATGTCAATTCATGTTTTGATACTAAAATAAAGGGATATTAATGTAACAGCAAACTAAACATCAATGACTAGTAAAAGAGCTTTTTTAAAAACTCATTTCATTAGAAAACTTAGCGATAGATCAATATATCAAATTCACTATAGCACCACTGAGCGGGCAAATCCTGATATTCTCCTTAAAACTAACATGTACTAATTTTGTGTCATGGAATGATACCCCATATCCTTTGTTTTTCTATTATGTACTGAGGCTAATGCAACAGCATACCAGCTATCATTGGTCTAGTTCTTTGTAAACACACATATTAAAAAAAAATTAAAAACTTTAGATAAAAAATTCCAAAGTCAATGAAGTATTACGCGGAAGGGAAGCTAATATTTTGCTTGAAAGTGAAATGAAAGGGTACTAATGCAACAACACACCACATGTTAATGGTCTAGTAAATGTACTTCCCTTATAAACTAACCTATATAATCATAAAACCACAATCCAAACGGTAGCGGAGGGTATATAAATTGGTCTCCAAGCTACCAACCTAATCAGAAAAATTAATATTTAATCTTTAATGCACTGAGGTTTGATTGAGGGTCTAGAATCTCACTTACTTCCTACGTTTTTTTCTGAAAGGCATGTGTGCTGATGCACCGGTTCAGAACTGTATAAATTCATAATACTTATTGTATATTGAACCTGCTCAGAAAACATAATATAAGATCGTATAATTACACAATAAAACCCTTTGCCACATTCAATGCATGACACATTATAGCATGCTCATATGAAACTTAATAACGAATTTGAGGAAGCTGTAGCTTCAAAGGAAAATAAGACAAAAACTGTATGGGGTGGATGGACAGAAACACGGGCGGACTTCAACCAGTTTTATACAAACTAAAGCACAAGTCATCTACAAAAAATATAGTTATTTTTAAATCCTTAAATCTTCCAAATTTCAAATTAATTAAAGTACTTTCTATGGATAATCACCTTAGCAACACAAATAGCATTAGTTAAAAGGAATAATATCATTTCAATTATTTAAAAAAGAGTTCATGAACCAAAAAACTAAGGAATCCTAGAACAAAAGTTTCAACGAACAACAATCACGGGAATACAAGAATTAAATTTTCCATGAACCACAAACGCAGGAATCCCCGAACAATAATTTTCATCAACCACAAACACAAAAACCATATAGCAAGTGTTTCCATGAACCACGCACACAGGAATTCTTGAACAAAAGTTTCCATGAACCACAACCACAAGAACCCTAGAACAAAAGTTTCCATGAACCACAAACTCAAGAACACCAGAATAATAGTGTTCATCAACCACAAACAAGAAATCTAGAACTATAGTTTTCATCAACCACAAACACAAGAACCTCAGAACAATAGTGTTCATCAACCACAATCACAAGATCCCTAAAACAATAGTTTTCATCAACCACAAACACAAGAACCCAAGAATAATAGTGTTCATCAACCACAAACACAAGAACCCTAAAACAATAGTTTTCATCAACCACAAACACAAGAACCCAAGAATAATAGTGTTCATCAACCACAAACATAAGAACCCTAGAACAATAATTATCATCAACCACAAACACAATAAGCCTAGAACAATAATTGTCAACCACAAACACAAAAACCCTTCTTCCAAATTTCAAATTAATTAAAGTACTTTCTATGGATAATCACCTTAGCAAAACACAAATAGCATTAGTTAAAAGGAATAATATCATTTCAATTATTTATAAACTTTTGATAATATTTTACCTTGTATTCCAACATGAGCTGTTTGAATTTGTTGGTGATTGCCTCTGTTAGTAGGGTTTTGAGAACCAGAATTAGCCTGTATCAAAGGAACGACATCTGCTCCAGCATCATGTACAGGTTGCTTCACCTTGTCCAAAATACTTTTAAACTTTTCCCACTCCTCATGTTCATTTTGCCAGTTAGCACTAAAGGATAGACCAATCATTGTATTGAATGCTTCTGGAATTTGTTGATCTTTTAAATCTATATGTATAGCAATAAATCTTTTTGAGCTATTCTGGTCTAACAATTTGGCAAATGCAGCATGAGATGTGTACCTACCCCAAGAATCTGTTAAAAACCCTCTTGTACATAAAACAACAATAAATCTTGATGCATTCACTGTTTCAAATAATTCATCAAATATATCACTCCCTGGTGTCGCATTGCGTTCATGATAATAGCTATCGTCAATACCCCATGTTGCCATTTTATCTACTGCAAACTTAACAATGTCATAGGATAATACATAGTCAGGGTTTGTATTACGATTGCTACTTAGCTTTGGTTTGTTATAAATAAACATTGCACGGTAATTATATACTCTTTCCATTGTATCTGCCGTCATTTTATACAAATACAAAATTCTAAATTTTTAAAGTTGGCAGGTGTTAAGAAACATTTTCACATGATGTACACTTTTCGAATCTCCAAAGAGCCATAAGAACTCTATCTGAAAAAAAAAAAAAAATTATAGCTATCATGACTTAAAATGTCAATGTTCATGTTCATGTATGAGTTGGAAATACATAAATTAAGTATACATCACCAGAAACAGTTCTGCACTGTTTTATTATATTTGATAGGGGCAGTTATCGTGCCTTCACTAAATAGTGAAATGTTAGTTCATATTGAGCCAAGTGTGACTGTTTTAACCTTCATTTTAGGTTTGGGCTCTTTAGCTCGTTGCTGAACACCCCTAACATACCTAACGAAGAAATGAGAATGATAAACCACCATTCCCTATGTGAAATTGAAAAATCGTCTAAAAGAAATTATCCACAATGCTTTTCAACATAAAAATGGTAGCTTATGCCATAAATTAATTACGTTGGGATACCATACGGCATATTTTGTTAATAGTGAAAAGGTAAAACATGCTACACAGAGGAACAAGTGATCATTATGCTGGAGTTTCTTATTGACAACATATTTGTTGAATTTGGAGTTTGGACTTTTTTAACAACTAGTCGACA